CCTTTGACATACATTGAATTTTTGTAAAGCTTTAGTCGGACACGGGGAATGTCATAGAGATGTTTGTGTCTGGTATTGTGCCTGTGGGTTCTGTCGCAACTATCAAGAAAGCGTTTTAGGTCAAGGTTAATATTGGAATTTAAGGTCCTGTAGATGTAGACTGCACAGTAGTAAGTGTGGATGTACTGAACAGGGAGTAAGTTTAGATCTATGAAGAGTGGGGGGGGGGGGTGTTGCCAGGGATGGGATTTAGTGATTATTCTTACTGCGGCTTTTTGTTGGGTTATTATTGGCTGTAGGTGTGTTGCTGCAGTTGAATCCCAAGCACATATAGCATAGGTGAGGTATGGATATATAAGTGAATGGTATAGTGTGAGAAGGGCAGTTTGCGGCACTTAGTATCGTGTCTTGGAGAGGATCCCAACCGTTTTGGATACTTTTTTGGTTATGTGTTGGATATGGGTGCTGAAGTTCAGGTTGTTGTCGAGGTATAGGCCTAGGAATTTGCCCTCATTATCCCCGGGAAATTTAAAGGTGTTGTCGATCTTAATTTTAAATTTGTGCATCCCTGCTCTGTACCAAACATAATGTATGGGTTTTTTTTTTGTCGTGTTAAGCAAAGTTTATTGCTTGTCTCCAAGGATATTTTATCACTCCCATTAAAATGGTGTTGAGGGGGGCAAGATTGGGGTGAGTATGAAAAAATCGTGCGTCAGCAAAGAGAAGGGGTTCAGTTTAATACATTTGGAAAATCATTGATGTAATGGGAAAGACAGGGGCCCAAGGACACTTCCCTGGGGAACTCCAGTATCAAGTGCTGTGTTGTTGATGCTGTGTCTTTAAGGGTGACATATGATACCTATTAGTAAGGGTAAGATTTAAAATATGCAAGCGCAGGGCCTTTTAAACCCATAAGGGAAAATTTTGTGGAGTAGGGCAGTGTTTACTGTTAAAAAAGCTTTTTTTTGGGTCAATAAAAATTCCTATGGATTTTCCCTTTTTTTCCCAAATGCGGGTAAAAACAGATCTAGCATTTTTATGATTGCATCTTAGTGCTTTTATTTTTCCTGAAACCAAATTGGCAGGGTTTTAGTATTTTTTGTGCCGTTATAAATGAATATATAGTCTCCTGTGCACGTTTCTCAAAGATTTGTTAGCAAGGGGAAATTTGATATTGGCCTACATTGTTTTAAACTGTAGGTCACCACCTTTAGTTTTGGGTAACCCGTGCCGTCTTTTGAGAGTTTCGGGAAGGTGCTATTTCTGGCTTTTTAAAAATAAGAGATAGCATGGAGAGGACAGGGGCCGCTCCTTGTAAATAAGGTGGGACATAGAAAGTTTCCCCTGATTTTTTTTTAAAAGTGACTTTATAATCTCGGTGACTTTTCCCTGGGCTCCGGGTTTGGGGCAAGATAAAGAATTTGGGAAATTCCCCTCTAGGTGTCCCCGGAGGGGATTGGTGACATCACCAAACCTTGTCTAAAGGGCCCACTTTTACGGAAATAATTTTCCCTTTTCCCACTACTCTAACTTTAGCCTCACTATCCCGTAAAAACTCTTCACTGCTTTTTAGTAACCTACCCCTTTCCCATCACCGCAACATCTGCCACACTGCCCCCTCCATCACCCTGTCATACGCCTTTTCCCAAATTTCCCAAAAACCACAAAGACCTCTTTGCCTTATTAAATACTGTTTACTTATATGTTTTTACTGTAAACACCTGGGCCACACACCCCCAAACCTTTCCAATCCCCTTGTTCATCTGCTATCCTATTCCCGTCTTACCTTAATTCTTTTAAAAAAACTCTACCTACCTTTTCCCGGGAAATCAACAGACTTTCCCACTTAATTTTTCCCCTTTTTGTCCCCCTTTTCCTTTTACAAAGGAACTATCATGCTCTCTGCCCAAACCCCAGTACCTTTTCCCCCTTCCATACATTTTTTTAAATATTTCATAACCACCCAAAAATATTCCCCACCTGCTTTTAAAATTTCTATCTTTACCCATCAATCCCGGCTGCCTTACCCCCCTTTTTTTTTACCTACGCCTCACGAACTTCCCCCACACTCACAACTGGCTCTTTCTCACTCCTACAAGATGTTATTCCTCCTTCCCCTTTATACACGAAATCACAGCTTCCCTATCTTCATCAACATTTAACCCAATTCCTCAAAATATTCCCTCCATCTTCCCAATACCTCTAACTCTCCATTTAATAACTCTCCTCTCCTTTTTTTAACTGACAAATCCATTTTTTTCTCTAGGCTTCCTTATTTTGTTAATCTCACTCCAAAACTTTTTCTTATTTTCAAAAAATTTGTTGATAACATCTCACCCACTCTCTCATTTGCTCTCTTTTTACATTGCTTCACCACTCTCTTAACCTCTCTCTTTTTCTCCATATACTCTTCCCTCCTTGCATCACTTCTACTTTGTAAAAACTTCTCATATGCTAACTTTTTCTCCTTTACTACTCTCTTTACATCATCATTCCACCAATCACTCCTCTTCCCTCCCGCACCCACTTTCCTGTAACCACAAACTTCTGCTGAACACTCTAACACTACATTTTTAACCCTTTGACTGTCACGGCCATATATATACGTCTTACGTCCTGGTGTCGCAAAATTTCAAAAAAAAAAAATAATATTTTTTCTTATGAAATGATAGAGAATCTTTTCCCGATTGTAATGACACCAAAAAAAACGAAATTTGATGGAAAACTGACGGAATTATGCTCTCGCGAAGTTAGCGACCTCGGCGCCGTTTACAAATCGGCGATTTCGCCCGCTTTGAGCCCTATTTTTGGCTAATTCCATTGTTCCAGTCGCCCAAACTCATAGCTATTTCTTTAGAACTCCTTTTTTCTATCGATTGAGACAAGAAACTGCCCATTTCCCGATTTCAACTACCTAATAATGTGGTCAGAAATTTGAAATTTTGGCCAATTTCACGAAAACTAAAAAATATGACAATTTCAAAATAAGGTCCAGAATGAACAATGCAGACATTCCTGGCTCTAAAATAACATTTTCTTTGCTCATCAGTCGTGTTTCCAGGCCCCTCTGATATTACTCTTGCTTTCTATTTTGAATTTTTATTCAAACAAAAAATTGAAGACTTACTATTATGCAGACTACTGCAATACTGTAATAATTGTATAAATAACATCAACCCATTCATGACTGCATATTAGAATGGCTAGTTTGGACATTTACTGGAAAATGGCATCATTTGCTTACTTTTGAACATTGGCAAAAATCAAACATTTCCCCCTATTTTGAGCCCATTTCTACGTCTTTTTATAGAAAAATCAATAAAAAAATCATCTCTATTTCTATAATATCCCTTTCCCAAATTCTATCAAATGAGACCAACAAAACGAGAATACATCCATAAATACTATACGAAAATAGACCACAAAGTCGGCATTTTAATTAAAAAAAACGGTAGGAGTTTTTTTTTCTCATTATGCACTGCGTGCTCCAGGATTTTTTTTATATGGTGCACACTGACCACACAGACCCATTCTCTCACATGTAGGCCTACCAGCTTTCTCCTGCTTGATTTGAAGCCGCTAGAATTTATGAGTATATATACGTCAAACACGGTACCTCGTAAGACGTATATATACGGCCGCGACAGTCAAAGGGTTAAACCTACCCCATACCTCTTCGACCCCATTTCCTATGCTCTCATTAGCCCATCTATCCTCCAATAGCTGTTTATATCTTACCCTAACTGCCTCCTCTTTTACCTTCACCTCTCTCTTCCCTGATGCTTCTATTCTCCTTGTATCCCATCTACCTTTTACTCTCAGTGTAGCTACAACTAGAAAGTGATCTGATATATCTGTGGCCCCCGATAAACATGTACATCCTGAAGTCTACTCAACAGTCTTTTATCTACCAATACATAATCCAACAAGCTACTGTCATTTCGCCCTACATCATATCTTGTGTACTTATTTATCCTCTTTTTCTTAAAATATTTATTTACCTATAACTAAAAACCCCTTTTTATACAAAGTTCAATCAAAGGGCCTCCCATTATCATTTTCATCTGGTACCCCAAACTTACCTACCACACCCCCTCTCTAAAAGTTTCTCCTACTTTAGCATTCAGATTCCCCCACCACAAATTTCTCTCTCACTTGGTTCAAAGGCTCCCATACATTCACTTAACATCTCCCAAATCCACTCGCTTTCCCCTACATTCCTCTCTTCTCCAGGTGCATACACGCTTATTATGACCCACTTTTCGCATCCCAAACCTTACTTTAATCCACATAATTCTTGAATTTACACATTCATATTTTCTTTTCCCCCTTCCATAATTGATCCTTCAACATTACTGCTACCCCTTCCTTTGCTCTAACTCTCAGATACTCCAGATTTAATCCCATTTATTTCCCCCCACCGAAACTTCCCTACCCCCTTCAGCTTTGTTTCGCTTAGGACCAGGACATCCAACTTCTTTTCATTCATAAAATCAGCCCAAACATCTGTTTCTTGTCATCCGCACTACATAAACACACATTCAAGCATCCCAGTTTTATAAAGTTTTTCTTCTTATCTTTTTTAGTAAATGTCTACAGGAGAAGGTGGTTACTAGCCCATTGCTCCCAGCATTTTAGTCGCCTCATACGACACGCATGGCTTACGGAGGAAAGATTCTTTTCCACTTCCCCATGGACAATAGAAGAAATAAAGAACAAGAGCTATTTAGAAAAAGGAGAAAAACCTAGATGTATGTATATATATATGCATGTGCGTGTCTGTGAAGTGTGACCAAAGTGTAAGTAGGAGTAGCAAGATATCCCTGTTATCTAGCGTATTTATGAGACAGAAAAAGAAACCAGCAATCCTACCATCATGCAAAACAGTTACAGGTTTCTGTTTCACAGTCATCTGGCAGGACGGTAGTACTTCCCTGGGTGGTTGCTGTCTACCAACCTACTACATACATCCTTTTTATAACAATAAAATACACACTCACTGAAGCATGTTAGCCAAGAACTGTCATCTCGTATGTGTTGCCTGAAACAAAACAAAAAAAATTATACTGATATTGAAATAATACAGTACAATATATATACAAAATGACTGAATGCCTAATTCTTGACTCATAGCACAATAATTTCAAATTAATGATAGATTGCTTGGCGTAGTTTCATTAAGTGGGTAATACACAAATAACCCGCACATAAAAGAGAGAAGCTTACGACGACGTTTCGGTCCGACCTGGACCATTTACAAAGTCACACTAACCAGAAGTGGAGCAGGACGGCTATATATAGGCAGGAAGAGGTGGTAGTTGTAGTAGTACAAGAGTGTAAATGGTCCAAGTTGGACCAAAACGTCGCCGTAAGCTTCTCTCTTTTATGTGCGGGTTATTTGTGTATCGTTCCAGTCACGGTATTGTGCCTTTTTTGTTATTTATAAGTGGGTAATGATACATCAGGAAACAATTTTGCTTAGCTAAAAACCTGCATCTATTAAGACCCTCTTGTAGTGGCTTATTACCAACTTACAAATAACTAAAAAAAAAATTGTCTCAAACAACACAAATCCACTCTAGGCTGAAATATTGCTGCATACCAACAGCACCTTTCAAGGCAGGTGAAATTGCTGACCTAGAAAATGTATAGAGACCCTTTATGGCATGCATAACTGCAATAAAGCACCTCAATTACTGGGAACACTTGAAGTTCCTAACCCTGTACTCCTTAGAATGCAGGCAGGAGGAAAAGATACATGATTATATATATTTGGAAAATCCTAGAGGGATTAGTACCAAACTTGCACACGAAAATCTCTCCCTACGAAAGCAGAAGACTCAGCAGATGATGCAACATCCCCCCAATGAAAAGTAGGTGTGCCACAAGCACGATAAGAGACAACACAATAAGTGTCAGGGGCCCAAGATTGTTCAATTGCCTCCCAGCATACATAAGGGGGATTACCAATAGACCCCTGGCTATCTTCAAGCAGGCACTGGACAGGCACCTAAAGACAGTACCTGACCAGCCGGACTGTGGGTCATACGTTGGACTGCGTGCGGCTAGCAGTAACAGCCTGGTTGATCAGGCCCTGGTCCACCATGAAGGCTGGTCACAGACCAGGCCATGGGAGCGTTGACCCCTGAAACTCTCTCCAGGTATACACCACACATGACCAGTTTATATAGAAATAAATTAACATTTATTCAATATAAAGAGAGGAAAAATATAAATGGTTTACCTTAACTTACTCTCACCTTTCTAACTTATGTGTTCAACCTCAAGCCCTCTACCTAAATATCTAGAGGACCCCAATGGAAATAAATCTCACTGTGACTTTGTTGGGTTATCCTTGGTTAAACTGGCATAACATAAGACAAATATACAACGGTAGCAATCATTTGCTAAGTGGAACCACTGAATAAATTAATAATACAGGCTGTAAAGTTAGTGTGAAAAAGGCTTAATAAGCAACTCCAGCACACTTCTCCTTATGTTGACAAGCCAGACAGTAACCTTCACTGGTCTACTATGTTTGCTTCAATGTATTTTGTGCCATGGCATGTACTCTGAGCTTATTGGATAAGTTTTATTAAAAAATATACAAAAAAAAAAAAATTGTTTCTGACAGCATAAATTTGCATAACAGTTCAAAAAGAATGTGCATGTTGCAGGCACACCATCATGAGAAGTTATGTAGATTTAACCTAAATAACTCATTAAGTTATGTTTGTACTGTGGAACCTTGGTTGACAACTGCATTACTTGCTGAACAAATCAGTTTTCAAACTAGGAATTTGAGAAAAAATGTCCTGATTTTCATACATTCTCTTGGTTGTCGACCAACAAGACGAACGGCTCGGGTCACGTGCTCACAAAATGCACACTGGACAAAGAGTCGACAGCGTGGGTCTGAGTTAGTATTGCCACTAACTCTCACACTGTAAACATCTCTTGAGCCTTTGTCGTGCATCTTGTGAACGTTTTTTGTTATTGTGCGGTTTTGGTGCAATATTTTTTTTGTTGTGAGATAAGCCATCAATGGGTCCAAGAAGGATAAATAGATGAAAGCAAAATAGAAAGTTGTAAAAAGCACTGCTGAGTTTAAAAAAGAAGTCATTAGAAAGTATGAAGAAGATAGGCTCTGCATGGTTGATACAGCAAAACTTTTTGGTAAAACAAAGTCTGCCATTGGCATGATACTGGGCCAAAGGGAAAAAAATTAAAGCAAGTGACCTTGCAAAAGGCATGAAAGTGATATCAAAGCAAAGGCCAGAAATTACTGAGGAGGTTGAAAAACTCTTTGATTTGTATAACTGAAAAATAGTTAAATGGTGATAGTGTTTAAGAGGCCATTATTTGTGAAAAAGTGAGGCAGCTGCATGATGACCTCCTGAAAAAAAAAAAAAATGGGACAATTCCTGAAACTCAATCCTTCAAGGCTAGTAGGGGTTGGTTTGATAATTTTAATAAAAGAAGTGGCATTCATAGTGTGGCTAGGAATGGGGAGGCTGCCAGTGTTGACAAAGTGGCTGAGGATTTGTCCCCCAACAAGTGTTTAATTGTGATGAGATAGGCCTCTTCTGGAAGAAAATGCCCAAGAGGACCTACATAACTGAAGAAAAGTCAATGCCAGGACATAAGCCAATGAAAGACAGGCTTATTCTGTTGCTGTGTGGGGACTTGAAATTGAAGCCCTTGTTTATCATTATGAAAATTCACAAGTTTTTAAGACTAACAATGTTATACAAAACAAACTGGCTGTAATGTGGAGGGCCAACACAAAAGCTTGGGTAACAAGATAATTTTTTATTGAGTGCTGTGGTGAATATATTTATTGTAGGAAGTCCGAAGAGTATATTAAATAAATTTAGTGGATAACTGGACTCCACAAGTTGAAAATGGTGTATTACCAACTACGATGAAGCAGACACACATGGTGCAGAACAAGCTTCACTGGGACAATGTTTCGCTTTGCATAAAGCAGAACAAAGAATGGGTAAAATTGAATACCACTGCATTAGTGAAATGCCATACAGCGAAGCACTGTAAAATGGGGCCTGCTGGTATCTCTATTGTATTAATGTTGGTAGAATTACCGAGAGTATGTTAGGTTAAAGGATACAAGTGCAACTAATGTGACATTTTATTATGGCAAAGTTTTACTCTCTAGGCGCTTTGTCAAGCTGTTAACTGTTTGACAAAGTTCCTGGAGAGCAAAATGTTGCCACAATAAAATATCACGTTAGTTGCACTTGTGTCCTTTTACCTAATATATATATATATATATATATATATATATATATATATATATATATATATATATATATATATATATATATATATATATATATACACAACTAATCACAATAGTAGTACACGTATAATTTGCAGGTTATAATACATCTGACAGACTTCAAGCCATTAACCCTTTCAGGGTCCGTCCCGTAGATCTACGGCTTCACGTTCAGTGTCCAAACCGTAGATCTATGCCAAAATTCTAGTGGCATCAAATTTAGCGCGAAAACGCTCATAGGCCTACATGTGAGAGAATGAGTCTGCATGGTGGGTATGCACCATAAACAAAAATTCTAGGCGCCCGCATAGCATTGTGGGAACGCCAGCTCAGTTACCTTTGTTCATCATGCCTCGTTGCAAGGCAGCTCTCACTCCAAGGAAAACTGGGACTCTCCTCTTCCTATCTGATAGTTCTGACACTGATTGAAGTGGAAATGAAGACGAATTCTTTGGCTTTGATCAGTTAGTGACCGAAAGGAATGACCAGGATATCGATAATAGCGCAGAAAACCCTGACAATCTTCAACCTACTACCTCTGGTGTGGGCACTCCTCAGTCACGGTCAGTTGTACCTCATCGCAAGAGAAAACTATTATTTTCGCGTGGCCAGGCCTCTGACTTCAGTAATGATGATGATAGTGACGTGGAGTGTGATTTTTATTGCTCTTGACGATCATTCGAGTAGTGATAGTGAGGAATCATATTCACCAGTGAAGTGTCGGTATGTATGCCGCCGCATGCGCTCAGGTAGTGTACCCTATGCAGTGCCCAGGGGACGGAATACATCCCGGGGTACATCCCGGGGTACATCCCGTGGCACTACACCAGGAATAGACAGTGAAAGTGATGATGATATGGCTACACTTGGCATGGATAGACCACAGGCATCAGTAGATGGTGGTAGTGGTGATGGTAGTGCCACGGCCATGCGTGACTCACCAGCCCAGGCTGGGACCCACGCTGCTGACTCCTCAGTTCAAGGACAAAGCGGAGTGTCAGCCACCAGCCCACCACAACCACAACTACCCGCACAACCAGCCTATGATGTCCAGTATCCACCAGCAAACCGTATCTGGAATTGGCAGCAAAATCCCTATTTTGTTCCCAAGCCCCACCACTTTGATGACTCTCAAAGTGGAATTCTACCTACTTGTCCCCTTGGAACCACGGCCAATGAACTGGAATTTTTTTAAATACTCTTTGACCAGCCCTTGATGGAAACTATTGTCAGGGAAAGTAACAAGTATTTTGAGTACACCATGGCAAATATGATCATATCACCACAGTCAAGACTACACCGGTGGAAAGAGACAACTGTTGCAGAAATGTATTTGCTTTTTGCAACATTAATGCTTATGCCTCATGTCTATAAGAATACAGTGGACCCCTGGTTAACGATATTTTTTCACTCCAGAAGTATGTTCAGGTGCCAGTACTGACCAAATTTGTTCCCATAAGGAATATTGTGAAGTAGATTAGTCCATTTCAGACCCCCAAACATACACGTACAAACGCACTTACATAAATACACTTACATAATTGGTCGCATTCGGAGGTGATCGTTATGCGGGGGTCCACTGTAATATAAAAGCATACTGGTCCACAGATCGGCTAATTTCTACCCCAGTCTTCAGCGAAATCATCCCAGTGAACAGGTTTATCTTACTGTTATGTATGTTGCACTTCTCTGACAAAACCAGGCCTGACAGAAGTGACAAGTTATACAAGATTAGAAATGTTTTTATGTATCTCAAACAAAAGTTCAACATGTAGTTTTATCTATTCAAGAATCTTGTACACCTACCATCCGACTTACGACCTGCGCGACATACGTCCACTTGACTTACGACCGTGCATCTGGCAGCTGGGCTGGGCCGGCTGATGCACACCACTGTACAATATTTGACAATACTCGCGGGGGCAATGTGTCATGCAGGCAGCATCAGTTTGAGTAACCCTGTCCTATCAGCAGCATCATACTGTATTAACTGTACTAACTGGACAGTAAATTTCACCATGGCCCCTAAGATGAAGTCTGAATCTTGCACTGGAGATTGTGGCAAGAAAGGCTCTTACTCTCGAACTCTCTATTTGTTTTCAGTGTTGCACATAAACCTGTCTGTATCTGTCTGCCTGTATCTCTGTGTGTCTGTTTGTCGGTTCTGTTTGTCTGTTTACCTGTGTGTCTTTCTGTCTACTTGTGTATCTACCTGTGTGCCTGTCTACCTGTGTGCCTGTCTACCTGTGTGCCTGTCTACCTGTGTGTCTGTCTTTGTCTACCTGTGTGTGTCTTTCTGTCTACCTGTGTGTCTGTCTTTCTGTCTACCTGTGTGTCTTTCTGTCTACCTGTGTGTCTGTTTTTCTGTCTACTTGTGTGTCTGTCTTTATGTCTACCTGTGTGTGTCTTTCTGTCTACCTGTGTGTGTGTCTTTCTGTCTACCTGTGTGTGTGTCTTTCTGTCTACCTGTGTGTGTCTTTCTATCTACCTGTGTCTGTCTTTCTGTCCACATGTGTCTCTGTCTACCTGTGTGTCTGTCTACCTGTGTGTCTCTTTCTGTCTACCTGTGTGTCTGTCTTTCTGTCTGCTTGTCTGTCTCAGAGCCACTCATTAAGAGTGTAATTGGTCTTGAAGACGCCATATTAATAATGATAATAACAATAATAATCACCGAGGTGCATTAAATGTTTATAAAACGTTAGACATTTTGCTTAATCCATCTATGATTTTTTTCAGAATTATATAATAAACATGCTACATAACATATAAATTAACAAATATGGGATGTTTTTCTGGTCGGCTTGACAGAGTGAACAGAAACCATTCATGTCCAGGCTGGTAACAACAACAACAACATTTGTTTACATAACTCGCCAACCTTCTACGCTCTCATTTATTCATTTAATCTTGTTTACTCATCTCTCACTCTACATTAAGACTAGAGATATTTTAAGGTAAGTAATGAGTGTACACGATTATTATATTATAGTTTAATAATATTATTATTAGTAGTAGTACATATGTATTATTGTAATAATGATTATTAATATTATTATTAATTTTGGGCACTGGAGCACAGATCCATTGTATAGCACTTTGTCTGGATTTTTTGGGTTATCCTAGGTAATTTATACTATGTATGATAACTTTACTTAGGTGTACCTGTGAGAGAGAGAGAGAGAGATACAGAGAGAGAGAGAGAGCCACATTCAGTCAGCCACCCACCCGGCCAGCCGGATACATATTACACATGTTCCAGAGTTGTTTCTCTTTACTTAGGGTATAGGTTATACTACATTCTGGCAGGATGACACTACCAGGGGTATTCTCCCATTCCACTGTGTCAACAATACATAAAGATAACAGTATCATATGATACTGTATGCAATGTAAAATTTACAATACAGTTCACTACCATGTATACATTATATACAGTACATAAATAATTAAACCTTTGACTGTCGCAACCCCCAATCCTGAGGTGTCTCCTGGTGTCGCAAATTTAAAAAAAAAAAAAAAAAAAAAAATTCTTATGAAATGATAGAAAATCTTTTCCCGATTGTAATGACACCAAAAAAACAAAATTTGATGGAAAACTGATGGAGTTATGCTCTCGCGAAGTTAGCAACCTCGGCGATATTTACAAATCGGCGATTTCGCCCAGTTTTGAGCCCTATTTTCGGCTAATTCCATTGTTCCAGTCGACCAAACTCATAGCTATTTCTTTAGAACTCCATTTTTTCTATCGATTGAGTACAAGAAACTGCCCATTTACCGATTTCAACTACCCAATAACATGGTCAGAAATTTGCAATTTGCCCAATTTCACGAAAATTAAAAAATATGACAATTTCAAAATAAGGTCCAGAATGAACAATGCAGACATTCCTGGCTCTAAAATAACATTTTCTTTGTTCATCAGTCATGTCTCAAGGACCCTCTGATATTACTCTTGCTTTCTATTTTGAATTTTTTTTCAAACAAAAATAAAGACTTACTATTATGCAGACTACTGCAATACTGTAATAATTGTATAAATAACATCAACCCATTCATGACTGCATATTAGAATGGCTAGTTAGACATTTATTGGACAATGACATCATTTGTTTACTTTTGAACATAGACAAAAGTCAAACATTTTCCCTACTTTGAGCTCCATTTCCAAGTTCTTTTTATAGTAAAATCAATCAAAATCACCTCTATTTCTATAATATGTTTTCCATTCTATCAAATGAGACCAAGAAAATGAGAATACAACCATAAATACTATACGAAAATAGACCACAAAGTCGACATTTTAATTAAAAAAAATTGTTGGAGTTTTTTTTTCTCATTATGCACTGCGTGCTCCAGGATTTTTTTTATATAGTGCACACTGACCACACAGACCCATTCTCTTACATGTGGGCCTACCAGCTTTCTCCTGCTTGATTTGAAGCCGCTAGAATTTTTGAGTATATATACAAGAAGGCCCCGCTTTACGGCGTTTCACTTTACGGCGTTCCGCTAATACGGACATTTCAAATTATGACCAAAACTCACTATACGGCTCCCCCCACCTGACTTTCTAATACGGTCACCGTGCCCCACCCTGTTTGTTTACATTCTCCATGAGCTCAGTAAGCACTAAGTCTCTCCATTTTGTCTGGAAACTCCAAAATTTCAAATGTTTTTAAAAGTTATTTCATATTTTATATATACTCTGATAATTATACTTATGTATACCTGTACCTAAATAAACTTACATACATCGAGTCATTTAAATGTCGTATATTACGTTAATATACACATTTTCATTAATCCATCCATGATATTTTTTTCAAAATTATATATAAACACGATGCATAACATATAAATAAGATAAATACACCCCACAGTAGAATAAATAAACATAAATGTGAGATGTGAGCAGACGACTTCCACAAGTGACGCCATAATAACAATAGTCACCGAGTCTCATTAAATGTCGTATATTACGTTAATATACACATTTTCATTAATCCATCCATGATATTTTTTTCAAAATTATATAATAAACACGATGCATAACATATAAATAAGATAAATACACCCCACAGTAGAATAAATAAACATAAATGTGAGATGTGAGCAGACGACTTCCACAAGTGACGCCATAATAACAATAGTCACCGAGTCTCATTAAATGTCGTATATTACGGTAATATACACATTTTCATTAATCCATCCATGATATTTTTTTCAAAATTATATAATAAACACGATGCATAACATATAAATAAGATAAATACACCCCACAGTAGAATAAATAAACATAAATGTGAGATGTGAGCAGACGACTTCCACAAGTGACGCCATAATAACAATAGTCACCGAGTCTCATTAAATGTCGTATATTACGGTAATATACACATTTTCATTAATCCATCCATGATATTTTTTCAAAATTATATAATAAACACGATACATAACATAAAAAGATGATAAATACACCCCACAATAGAATAAATAAACATAAATATAAGATGTGGGAGCCTGGTTTGTTTACATAACTCTGCGCCTGTTACCTCTCATGTACTCATTCTTTCTCTCTCTCATTTATTCGTTTTATCTCATTTACTTACTCCTGACCCTACATTAAGACTACAAATATTTTAAGGTAAGTAATGAGTGAACTGTATATACATTTTATCGCTCTGGGATGCTTAAATATCATAGAATAGTATGTGTGGGTGGGGTGGCCTGGTGAGGTAGCCTGGCTATTACAATACATACCACACTTGATTTCTTACAATAAATACTACTTGTCTCACCCTAGATTAAGACTATAAATATTTTAAGGTAAGTAATGAGTGCACTATGTGTGTATTGTACTTTTTTATTGTTTTTTGATGCCTGGTTCTATTGCTAACATAATATATGTTAGTGTAAACTTGTTATCTAGTGTTTGTATGCATTTGTAAGTGGAAAAAAAGGGTGTTCCACTTTACGGCGGTTTCCGCTTTACGGCGGTAGCCTGGAACCTAACCCGCCGTATAAGTGGGGCCTTCCTGTACATCAAACACGGTACCTCGTAAGACGTATATATACGGCCGCGACAGTCAAAGGGTTAAAATATAACAATAGAAGTAAATTATGGTAAAAAGAATGAAATAATGATTGTACATTTCATTACAGTACTATGTAGGTAGTTTAGGTAGGAAATGTTTGATGTTATGCCTACCCAGTATGTCGGCAAGTTTCAAAGGTTCGACTTACGTCCATTTTGACTTTTGACCGGTTGGTCGGAACCATGCTTGGTCGTAAGTCGGATGGTAGGTGTAATTGATGAGTCTTTGATTTTGTTCAAAGGTAGGCTGTCATTCAAGCAGTATATACCGAGCAAGAGGAAACGCTTTGGTATAAAACTGTTTGTACTCTGTGACTGTGACAGTGGCCTAGTATTGGATATTGTTGTATACACTGGATGTAAAACATTGAAAGATACATGTACCAGGATGTTATTGGGTATCTCAGGTGACATAGTGAGAAGCATGATGGCACCTTATCTTGGTAAGGGGCATACATTATATACCGATAACTGGTACACAAGCCCTTTACTCAGTGATTTCTTGCGAGCGAACAAGACAGATATGTGTGGCACAGTGCATTCTAATCGTAAACATATGCCCAGGTTCAATGCAGGTGCTCATGGTGATGACGTGCAGGTGTTTACTGCCAAT